GGAGGGTCGATCCGGGGTTGCGGTACCGTAACGTGGTCAAAGTCATGGACTATGAAGCCTTCCGTAAAGATGGTTCCATTTCCGTTCACGATGTTCCTGAACCGGAATTGTTCGTTGAGGACGGACCGCCAAGCTTTCCGATCGCAGCAGCAGCAGACAGAGCATTGCATGGAGGCAAGACAGAAGGGTCAGATCCCCCACCTTTGCCCCTGCGAGAGGCGCTCTTTGGGGCCCCACCGACTCCATCCGCTGTCAAGTCAAAATCCGTGTACATAACTGTTGAGAGGATCATCAAGTTCAAGGAAACGCCAGGGTGTCGTGCATGCACCGGTCATTCCAAGATTCACAGTGCCGAATGCAAGAAGAGGTTCTCCGAACTTGTTTCTGCAGATCGAGCAGCTGCAAAAAGCGCTGCCAAAACTGAATGTAAGGAGCCCATTCCCATTGTTCATACTGAAGGGGATGAGGAGATAGCCAGGGCAATCCACGCATCCGAGCACGAGAAAGATCCTAAAATCGCAGTTACTGCAGAAGATGTTGCGCATGAATTTGATGCAGCCGAAGCTGGGGAGCCCGCTCCCTCAAGACCCGGTGCCTCATTTTTCGATTCCGCGCCAGCGACAGCCGCTACATCGCAAGGTGAAGATTTTTGGGTGTTCAAAGAAAATGTTAACTGTTTGGTTCGGTACCATATCATGCCAAGGCAGAATCTTTTTACCCCCGAAGGAGGTCGAGGATTGCCCCGTTTCCCCAGAAAGATTTACTGCAGCTCGCACCACTCGTGCCGTGTTTCAGGGGGGCAAGGCAGACAACATTCACGATGGTTGGTTTGGTAGCCGACCTAATCGCTCACTTGGAGATCCATGGACCGGGTTCACAGTGTTCAAGTTAAAACCCATTCAGTCCGATTGCGTTATCACCACAGGTGCAGCCGTGATGTTAGACTCCGTACCGCCGACACCTCTCACCGAAGCGTCAAAGAACGGTCGTCCAGATACATTGCCAATTTTTGGCATGCCGTGCAGCGCAGAGGTTGAAGCTCCGCAGCCCAAGCAGTTTGAGGTAGGAAATCATCGTGCCCGCAAGCGACAGGCACGCATTGATAAGTTGCCTGTGATGTTCGAATACGCATGTTCACCAGAGTCCAATATGGGTCGCGTGTTTGAAGGTCTTGGCATACCTCATGTTAGGCTGGCTAAAGAGTTCATCGACCTTAGCACAGATGAAGGAGAAATCCAATTGCAGTCACAGATAGAAGGTTGTGATAAACCCAATCTCTGGGCTGCAATCCCCTGCACATCAGGTTCAGCATGGCAACGCCTTAATAAGGCCAAGTTAGGAAGCCAGTTCAAAAAGAAACTGAAACAAAAAGTTAGAGAGTCGAGAGAGTTGTTCTCCAGATTCAGACGTCACGCTGAGACTGTCCTCCATCAGGGGGGTAGTGTTTCGTTTGAATGGCCAAGGGATTGCGACAGCTGGGCTAGGGATGATGTTTCTGCATTCTTTAGGGAATACGCACAGGTCTTCACCCCAGCGACCTTCCACGGTTGCGCCCTAGGTCTGAAGGACAGCAATGGCTATCCCATCAAAAAGCCATGGAAAGTCATGACCAGCAATAGCACCCTCGCATCCGCGCTAAGTGCATTCAAGTGTCCACACGAAAAAGGGTATAAACACTCGCTTGCAGCAGGTAACAAGACCGCAAAGACCGCTTTCTACCCCGAAGGGATGTGTCTCACAGTTGCCCGCGCGCTGTATCCGACAGTTCAGCCCGTTGTGCCTGCGACGCCTGTCCAAGTGCCATTGCCTCTCCCGGGAACGTGAACAGCAGCTAAAACACATATCCCCTCTCTCTGGTTTGGAAGATATAGGTATTGCTGTTGAGTCCGATGAAAAGTGTCACGACATCCTTGAACAAGTTCTTGATGTTGAAAATCTCATCGCACATTCCCTAGGACAAGTCAAGGAGGAGAAGGATCCTGAAATCACCGCAATGGTGACCAGACTCTTGTCACGTGCCGAAATGTTGGCTTCCCCGGAAGCCCTTGAAGCCGTTCGACTTGAAGCCACAGGCCTGGAGAAACGATCCAGTATAAAAGTTCATTTCGGGCAGTTGATGTCCCTAGCATCCGTCAAGTTCGCCGAACTCGCGAAACACCTTCAGAAGATGAAAGGTAGGATTGTGTATCGCGGAGACTGTGCGAAAGACGAACATGGCGCAGCAGCTGTCTATCAAGAACTGGGAGCAAATCCCACGAGCGTACAAGGTCTTAATAACTGTCTCGCTTATGGATCCCTGCCAGGGAACTCCACCACAACAGCGGACGCTATAAAGGCTTATGTGCAAGCACTGCTGAAATCCAAGTACCAAACTTGGATCACACTCCCGCCTGAGCTCCGGCCAAGGTGGTGGCGCGAGCGTTTCGTGAAACCTGTGGTTTTGCTCGTTAAAGCTCTTTATGGGCATCCTGACGCTGGCGGACTCTGGGAGGCACACCTCAAAGGTTTCATTAGTGAACTTGGAGGGCGTGAGGTCGCAGAGTTTCCTGGAAACTTCTGGTTCAAGGAGTCCGGGTTACTTCTCTCGACATACGTCGACGACTTGACGTTGGCCGGCCCCAGCCACCTTCATAAAGACTTCTGGGAAAAGTTAACAAGACTGGTTGATATAGAACCCCCAGAAGACATATATCGGGTGCTAGGCAGGAATCACCTTTTGATAGATGCTCCAAAGGACCCAACTGAACCCGATCTTAATGCCGCAATGGGCAGATTGAAAGGGGGCATGGCGTTCGACATGCGAGATTATGCTCGTCAAACGGTTGCATTATATCTTGAGGTTGCGCAGCTAAAAACTGAAAAGTTGCGTGATGCCACCACTCCATTCTGTCCCGCTGGATCTCTAGACCCTGCAGATGACGCCTTGGAGGGTGAGCTAGGCTTCGCCGCTTGCCGCGTGTTGATGAAAGCCTTATGGCTGGGTCGTTTGGCACGACCGGACCTGGTCAAGCCCATCGGCGACCTTGCTTCCTTTGTTCAGAAATGGTCTAGAAACTGCGATAAGCAGCTACATAGGCTTGTCTGCTGCATAAACAGCACGGTTAACAGCACGCTAGTTGGCACAGTTCAGGATTCGACTGATGAGTTGGATCTTTTTTCTCTTTATGTGGACGCTGATTTCGCTGGAGAACGAGACGCAAAGTCGACGTCCGGAGGCTTCTTGATTTTGAGTGGTCCACATACGCACTTTCCCCTCGCGTGGGTGTCTAAAAGGCAGACCTCGGTCTCCCGATCGACAACCGAGGCGGAGATCGTATCTCTTGCGTACTCCCTGTACCAGGAGGCACTTCCTGCGCTCAGCTTATGGGAGCTGATCTTGGACAGACCATTCCATCTCAAGATCCACGAGGACAATCAGGCGACCATCCTCGTAGCAAAGAAGGGTTTCTCATCCAAGCTACGCTGTGTCCAACGCACCCACAAGGTGAACCTCGCTTGCATCGCAGAGCAGCTTGAAAGCGAACACGTCTCGATCGAATACGTCCAAACAGACATGCAGTCAGCAGACATCTTCACGAAAGCACTTCCACCCAACAAGTGGGACCATGCCATCCGGTTGCTCGGCATTCGTGTTGACCTTCCAGAGAAGCTTGAAGACGTTCGTGAAAGTAGATCCGCTAAAGCAGCTGCCTAGTGCGCTGCAGCATGTCCGCAAGAAATTTCCAAAAGTGTGCAAGTGACTGGTAATGCGCCCAAGACACTCCCTCAGTGCCGTCAATGAGGGGGGAGTCAATTATCACGATGACATTTATGGCCCAGAGGTTCATGAGGTAGGTACTCATGTTGCAAGGTACAAGATCAGTGACATGACCACATGTCATTGCTGTGGCTCAAGAAAAGAGCGCGTTGCACGCGCTGCCACAAGGTTAAGGGAGAGGTCGCAGTCACGGCGGGGTTCGTTCCTTTTAAGGTCCCGGGTTCCCCCGTTGTTGAGAAAACTGTGTTTCCCTCTCCTTTGAGTCAAACATGTATTAACCAGCCAATGGTTGTAGAAGATGGCAATGTGTAGAATCCAAAGAGTTTTGTGTGCTCAGACGGTGAGAATGAATGCAGGCTGTTCATCTCCGTGCTTAAAATTGGCGTTATACATAGGTGCAGTTGTGCAAGTTTTCATCCACCGTGATAAAGCCAGAGTTGTCGACTTGCATGAAATGAAGCCCGCTTTGTCAAAGCTGTGTTATCAGACATGCGATTGCCAATGCTATCTAGATATACAGTGATATACATGCAATACGCATGTGTATCAAATACAGGGACCCCTGTAAATAGTTGGATTTCTTTTCAGCCATGCAACGTGCCCAGCGATTGTTAACATGCAACATGCAACACGCCTCCCCGCCCCTCCCCTCCTTTCACCTACCCCTCCACCCCCCGCACTTAACACATCGACTTTGGTTGCTTGTTTCTCCGGGGTTGGGCACAACTTGGACCAGACGCTGGACCCCATGTAAAAGGGAACCACAAACAGGTGGCTGAAAGGGGACCCCATGTATGTGACGTTCAGCTGGTCCTTCCTCTTTCTGGAAGGACGGCAAGTCAAGACTTAGCTATAGGAATTTTCATGCCCCCAGTTCTCCCCAACGTTCTCGGAAGTATATACACTCCTGGATTGCACTCATGGAAATGCGCAGGTGTTTTGCAAGACTACATCTTTAACAGACCTCCTGTCCACTTCCATTGCACAGGGTGCACCGCGGGGAGTAACCACCCTGATATGAAGTATGTCGCATTTAAAGCCTGGCAAAGTGGGCTACCCGAAGCGTCAAGAACTCTAGCGGATATCCCCATGACTGTCCCTTATTCTTATAGTTGAGGAATCCTCAATAAGGGCGCTCCATCATTGGTGAGCTAGTTTTGCTTGCTGGGGTGCTTGCTACAGCCCACAGTCTCTCAGAACAAATCGTTGGAGTCCGAGGCATTTTGCCTGTTTTGCGTCCGAGGCAGAGAAGGAAAGCGGCCAAGCAAAAGCCCCTGCTGGTGGCGACCGTTCCGCAGACGCCGCGGACCCCGGTGTGGAGGGGATTCGGGGGGGGGGGGGAACAGGGGTCAAAATTACTGCCAAGCATAGCTACCATTGTCGAATTGTTGTCACCACATTGTGCAATGTTGGATCTTGCTTCGTCTCGTGCCTCACTTGATAATTGTGCGATGTACAAAATCATACGTGCATTCTGACAAATGGCTGTGGCGTTCTTGCGCAGCGTGGGCTGGAGCCCGCGGAACAGCGTAAACTTACATCCCGGATGCTTGAAGCGGTAGCTTTGCCTGAATAAACTTGTTTACAGCACAAATTTTGGGTGAGCTTACCCTTGATGAAGCTTATTGTTTGGGCGAAGCCTACAGCAAACTGAGCTGGCAAGAGTTGGAGCTGTTCAGCTTCTGAGCCTTGCAGAGCTGTTGGGTTGAGAGAGTTGGACCCTTTCACGCCCCTTTGGGTTGCTCTTCGGTTCCTTTTCAGTTTCGCTTGCAAGCCATCAACCACAAAGACCCTTGCATATGTCAGCTTGGGCTTGGGCACAGTGCACGTGGATTTTGCCGCCCCTAGCGAAATTTATTGCTTTGCTGGTGTCCTGCTTCATTTCACAACGTTCTTTCTGCCGTTGTTTGTCAAACCATGCACACCCCAAAACCTTCCAGGGTTCCAATCTGTGATCCCAGCAAATCCTTCAGCAAGAGACCAGGGGTTGACAAAAGCAATTGGTTCGCTGAGGGTGGACCTGCCGCTGTTCCATGACCAGCAGATGCCTCGGAACCCTGAGAAGGCCATGGCAATTTGGTTGAGGTCGCTTTCGGCTTGGTTGATGCTGGAAGCTTGCTTGAGTTTTGAAGCCGTTGGTTGGTCAAACGTTGAACCCCCTTTGTTGGTGATGGATTTTGTTTTTTGGGTTAGTTGGCAGGTTGGTGGGTCGGTTGCTTGAGTTTTGAAGCCCTTTTGTTGGTCGATTGGTTGTGTAGGGGCTTCCCCACCCAAACAACATCTAATTTACAGACAAAGGTTTGCGTTGCACTGGGCCTTCAAGGGCTGTGGGAGTGAAAGGGTTTATCCGCAGTTGTCCTGCAAACCGGCTTCTCTCACAAAACTGTTTGCGCTAGACAGAAAATGAATGTGTGACACAGAATCAGACAGTCTGATTCAATGATGCTTCCGAATCAAAAGCAAGGTTTAGCCTAGTTCCTGTTTCCTTGCTTTCTCACTCGCATCGCCTGCCTTCTGAAGTCGGATCAGGCTTCTCCCTTCTGATTTGGCGAAGGGGGAAGGCCTGAAGGAACCCACCCTGTAACGTTGTAATGTGTGGCGAAGGCTGGCCCATTGGGCGGGCGAAATTCAAAGGGGCTTTTGGGAGAGAGCTATGGACATGATTCATTTGATTCAATTCTGCGCCATCAATTCTGCGACCTCTAGGAGGGGATGCCTTGTTGGAGACCATGGGAGTACGAACTACATAGTGACAACTACGATTTGGGCGCACCATGCACCTACCCCCCAGCCGGTCCTTGGTCGGGGGTGGGCGGGAGAACTGCTGGGTGGGTAGGTGACAAGTCGCAAACCACACATTTACCCAAGAGTCCGCCGATTTCCCGAAGAGAATCTCTGAACAGAAGGGGAAGGTAGGGCGAGGGATCTGGCAAAAGGATCCAGACCAACCGGCGAATGGCACTTCGTGTGTCCCTTGCGCGAAGGGACTTGCGTGTTGGTTTAATCCGATCAGGTCCGATCCAAATGGGTATGTGTGAATGTAAAGGGACCTCCACAGTCAATTGGCTTCGCCGGATGCTTGTGCTGGGAATTGGCGGTTGGAGGCATTTTTTTCTTGAATTCTTCGAGCGCAGCGGTTCTGCGTGTGCCAACCTGGGGGCCAGGGTGTGCGTTGCGCAATTGTTGCGCAGGCTTAGCCTCGTGACTCACGGACCGCTCGCAGGAGCCTCTCCGTGGGATACCGCGAGGTGTTCAGGGCACGCCCTTCCAGCCGGAGGCTCACTTGCACCCTGCCCGAATAGCCCCTTGCGGAACGAGGACCGACATGAAACATGATGCCTTAAGCAAGTCGTTGCATTGACACATCCCAAATTTCAGATTCACACGTTAAATTCTGACCATGGTTGGGTGGCTAGATGGTGGTTGAGTACGTATTTTGTTTCTTTTTGAACTATTGCAGTTCCAACTGCTAGGGGCAGTGGTTTGAGGTCCGCAACACTTCAATATGTTTGATTCTCATACATGTTAGTCAACAGAGCCAGCCAACATTGAATCAAATCCCAGAGATGTGCCCCTTGTATGCACGTGGTTAAGACCCTGCATGTTGTTTCTGAGCCTCGGAACATCCAGCTGGTATTGAACCCAACTTTCGAAAGGGATGAAGCATGTCTGGCTTTCACACAAAAGTGATGGGCCAACCTCAAACAGCCAACCAAGCAAGCCAACCAGCCAGCCAGCCATCAACCAACACTCACTTGCAGTTCCCTTTGTACGCGCCATTTCAGCCAGATATCAAAGTGTCTGCATGGCACTAAGGTGTCTGCATGGCACTAAGAGGTCCTAAACCATGGCATTGAATTTACGATGTAGCAACACATGGGTATGGGTCAAAATTAAACCACCAAGAAACCGCAGGGTTTAGTCCATGTTTCCATTTACCAGGGTTCCATTTTGGGTACCTACTTTTGACCCACAGCCACATCTCCAGTTTCAAGCTAACGGCCCGAGGTCCGCCCCGGGACCCTTGCGGACCACCACTTGGGGCCCGGACACCGCGCCCACGACGCCTGAGCGCATTCCCAAGACCCTGGAGCGGTCGAGTCGATCGAGTCGAGTCGAGATCGCCAGTGTGTACTCTTTGTTGCATTGTGCTTGGATGTTAGGACTTTAACTTTTGCCAACTCATGGGTTGTCCATTTTAAACCACCAAAAGTTAAACTTTTACCAGGGGAGCAGAAAGCAACCGAGTACTGATGCTTGTGGCATCTAGCAGTTTAGGACCACTTTCTGTGACCAGCAAAGTAGCCATCCACAACCACATGCTTGCTGCACATCCGCTTTTTTGAAGCTCCTCTTTAGGTGACAAGGTTGCCCTAGCGGCTGTTCCTTGGAACTTTGGCGGGGAACTCTGGGACAACTGCTTTGCTTGGGGTCCAAAACGTTTGAACTTTGTCACCACGGGATTTTGATAGGACGGGATCAACTTTTAGGGGATAAGCCAGCTTTTCGATTGCTTCACAGGAAAACCAAAAGGATACCAATTCTTTTCTGGGTCCCCCCTATTTGACGCGAACCCTTTCTGTAGGTACATATATGTATACAGTATACAGTACGTGTGTATAGACACAGATACATATATGTATATATATATAATAGATGGGCACATTATACAAATATGTACATGTTTCTGCTATGCATGGGAATGGTATTCTCGGATCTTCCAAATGCATTCCGGCCAGATCTGAAGTGGCACTTGACCGATGGGATTTTGATCGGGGGGGGGGACTTTGATCAAATGCAGAAGGGCTTCCCTCAATGAGTTTCCCTTGCAGTTCCCCCAACTCTTAAAACATCTCTTGCCTCCTTTCATTGCGCTCAGATGTTTCTGGGGGATTCTCCAAATTATATGGTAGGATAGACTAAATATGAGACACACTTTGAACATATTACTTTCGGTGTAACTTAGACGTGGGCCAAGGTTTGTGTGCTATCTTGTCCCACATTGTTTGCCCACAAGTGGGGAAGTTACTCCTCATTCCTTGGGGTGGAAGCCCTCAATGTCCTGGATGCTGGTTGAATTAGTCACCGAATGTAAGACAGTTACCTTTCAAAATGTTTGTGCATACATTTGGGTGTGTGTCTTCATGGGGAGACCGCGAATTCACTGGTTTCCAGTTAAACCAATAATACGCGCCCACCCATGTGGCCACAAGCCGGACAGGAGTCACTGCTGACGCCGCCACCCGTGCTGATGTGCCTCAGAGGGTTTGGCTCGCGAGCAGATGGACCAAATTTTTGCACCAGGTGGTGTGTCCCACTTTTCCTATGGGTTCATCCATTCCAACTGTGTCGATTTGCGGGTTTTGTCCATCCACTGTATGCTTTGCAGCCAATATTGATTCCAGGTGGTGGCTGATTTCCCAGAAAGCCAGAAATGCTTTGGCCATTCATCCGGGGTTTACATCTCTTCAGGCTTGGTTATCATTTGTTGGAGCCCCTCCATAAACCCTTCCAGCGGATTTCTGAGGCCCATTTGCTCTGAATTCAAACGGACGACAACGGCGGTAAAGCTAAAGTACGGTCCCGTACGCCGCACTGTTGGGGAGTCCTTATGCAAGCTGACCCAGATACCTGATGAGCAGAGTCCCATGCCATGTAGCCTGAGTTTTGCAAGTGTTGGAGAAGGAGACGAGGATCTGGAGCCAATCTTGCCTCCAGCTGAACACCACATATAGCTCATATAGCTAGCGTGGGTCCTATCCACCAACCCAATTCTGAGGCCAGCACACGCCAAAGGCCGCCCACAGGCAGGGATCGGTCCGAAGCGCGATGTCTCGATGTGTCTCGTCCATGGCATTGCGGGTTTGCCCCGCGGGAGTGAAGGTCGCGCCTTTGCGACTTCGGGGCAGCGTTGGTTTCTCCAAGCCCGAAAATCGGTTGGCCTGTAAGAGCGAAAGACACCAAGGGTGGGGTAGGGGATGTGAAGATAGGAGGAGAACCCCAGCAGAAATTCTTTGGCAAGTTGCAAGTCTAGTATGGGCGGGTGGGTTTCGTGCAGGTCGCAAAAGGAAACTGTGGGTCTTGGCGTTGCTACTGCGGAGATCTGTTTGAAGTTTAGGATAGTTCATCACCAGGGGTAACGTCGGGTACCTGCTTTATTTTGCTGGTTGCGAAGAGTGGCTTGCAAACAGCATCTTTCAAGCACGCAGCTTGTTTGCGTTTATGAAAAGACATGTTTGTTGCAAGGGATGCCGAAGAGCTCTTAGGTTAGCCTAAAGCGAAGCTAGACAAGTGGTCTTGGTCGTGTTTGACACCTTTTGAGCAGCACGACAGCAGTTGTTATCTTGCTTCCCAAAATGAGCCTCCCTCGCGGTAAGGACGCTGGCATAAGGTTTTTTTTAGTTGTACATGATCTTTCAAGGATCTGGCAGTGTCCATGTTGGGTTTTGAGGGTGCAGCATTGAGAAACTGCCAATAGTATTGGCCTTGGGTAGGACGGTGTACCCGGGTTTCGGACAATCGGTGCCAAACTAGCAGAAAACCCAAGGACGCCACAAGCGGCGCCCTTTTGCGCCCAGGTGTGTAAAATTTACTGTACTTTAACCAACTCGTGACGTTTTGGGGGAAGTTGTTTTGTCCTTTGCTGACATCGCGACTCGCGTGAGCGACTCGGAGTGAGGCGCCGGCGGTCCCGCCGCCCCTGTACCGCCTGCTGGAGGCGCCCCCATCTGATGCCAGGGAAGCACTCCTGGCGCCTTGGACGGATGGCGTGGCTTCGCTAACGTGAACTTCGCACTTCGGAGGACCAAATTTGGGATGTCCCTTGAATTAGTTTAAGGAATCCCATGACTAGCAAGGTCCGGGTTAGTCCGACGTCAACATGAAAGCTTCCGGGCAAGGCGTAGGAAACCGGGACAAAGAAGAGCGTTTGGAGCAAAACCAGTCTCTACCAAAAGTGACCCGTGGAAGTAGTGAATGGAACCAACTAGCTGCAAGTATCTTGAAGTCGCACAAACCAAGATCCTGGGTACTTGCAACTTGTTGTGATGGGCATGTGGAGCTTGAAAACACAGCCAGGTGAAAGGCGTGGGCTACAAAGATTCCGGAAGGGCTAGCGAAAGATCGTGCTATCGCAAACCTAAGGCATCACTACTACCACCACCACCACCACCACCACCACCACAACCACCACAACCACCACCACCACCACCACCACCACCACCACCACAAGCGCACACCAAAAGCCAATCAGACGAAGACCGCATCCCCGGCATCCCCCCTCACTCGCTTGATCGCAAGCATCCCCGCTATGTCCGCTTCCGCCAAAACAGGGGGCCATTTTGGAAGGTTGGCAGGATGCCAGAGATGCTGGGGATGCTGGCAAGCCCGGATGCTGATGCAAAAATGCTGGGGTGCTTGGGAAAGGCTGGCATTTTTTGAAGGCCAACCCAAAATGGCAGTCGGGCATGTTTGGGGCAGATGGCCTGCGTCCGGATGATGATTAGCGCATAGATATGGGCCATATCCATGTATAGGTGGGTATTTGCGCTGGGTGATCCACGCATGGGTTGGCCCTGAAATACTACTGCGCCAGGTCATACGCAGGGTCATAGGTGTCCTTTTTGGTTGTTTTGGCAAAAGAATAAATGGCGCTGGTTTACCAGGTGGTTTACTCATCTACCAGGGCCATCTATTTCCGGACACCAATGCGCAGGGTATTTCGCCATATTTCGTCATGTCGTTTCCGACACCCCGGTTGGCCCTGACCACTTTCGCGGCCGAGGAGAAGGCCATGCAGCAGACGGTGCAGTCCAAGTCGGCCCCTCCGGCCAGGACAGGCGAGTGAAGGCATGCCCTTCAACTTGGTTGGTAAAAAAGAAGCCCAAAACAAACAGGGTTCCTCCACCTCCCTTTTGGTTTCCACAGAAAGTGGCTTTGTATTATAATAATAATTATTTTCTTCCGGAAACCACCGGTGAATTGAAACAATGGATACCACAGATAAAATTGCCACTTTTGAAGATGAAGCCTGTAAAGGCTTCAGATCGTACTTTCCGTCTTTGCATGGTGGCTCTATTGCCCTGAAGACTTGCTTGCTTTTCGGGTCCCGATCCAGAATCTTGGAGTGGCGCCATCGTCTTGAAACATTGGGTGCTGGTACCTCGTGTCTCTGTTGATCCAGAACTCGAACGTAGCAAGCGAGGGGCCTATCCAGTTGTACGGATTGGTTTGTGCCTTGGCGCTGTGGCCTGTCACAGGGCCCCTTCAGAAGGGGTGACAGAAGGGGTAAGGGGCATTCCCGGTTGGCCAACTGACGGTTTATCCGCAGTCCTCAAAAGGACACCATCATGAGTCACCAACCATTTGAATGGTGTTCCTTCGACACATTCCCATGCTAACAGGATGCCAGGTGCTAAGAACGCATTGCTCACGCGATTTTCAGATCGGGCCCGGCCAAGGTGGCATCCGGCATGCAGCGATTCTACCACATGCCAAACCAAGCTTTTTGGGCGTGCCCCTATGCTGTCGTCCGCCTCCGCAAGCCATTTTTTGGTTTCTGTTAGGGAAACGACACGACCGCACCAAACCCCCATTTCGCGAAGACTGTCCGGCGAAACCAGCAGGAGCGCTTTCATGCCTGGCCAGCAGGCCGGAAATCCGGTGACATGTGTGGTCAAAAGACCGGTTCCTTTGCTTGACCCTGGGGCCCCAAGACCCTATTTGAGGTTTAGTTGGGGTAGGCCCTCATATTTAAGGTCTTGAGATAGAGTGGGGTTGCTAGAATTGGTCAACCTCTTAGGGTCTTAGACCGCCAATTCAAGGATTCTTATTAGCGAACTCAGGAGGCTTGCTCGTGGCGTGGGTGTTCGTCCTACCAGGACCACCCTTTGCTGGATTCGTTGAACGGGCTTCAACGCAACAAGTCCACTTCAAAAAAGGAGGGTGTGGCTATCTTGGCAAGCACTCAAATATGGGTTCCTGTTGACATTTGAACAAATAGACAGTTTTAGAAAGAAGTAGAATGAGAATGGAGACTGTTTCCTGCCAGCGTCTTCCCTTAGGCTGCAAGGAACATCCGTCTCACTTCATTCGTCATACCTTTATCAGTACAACATTCCTCAACCTAATCTCATTCCATATCCAATTATATCATAGAATATTCATTTGTTAGGAATTCATATTATCTTATCATTCCTTCAATAAAGGATAGAGAGAAGAAATCAAAACATCTCTGTCTTTATCTCGCCCTATCCTCAATTCTCGGATCTTGGGCGAGCAGGAGGTCTAAGAGATGAAAAGAGAGAGGGAATGAAACGGAAAGCAATAAGAAAAATAATATGCTTTCCTATGACATCTCATTCATCTCTCTCCCATTCCTTCTCCTAGCTCCTGCCGTCACTCCGGATCCAGAATGAATCCAACATGAACCACTTTAGGATGTGAATGAAGGTTGGATGAAGGAGGAGGATGGGGAACGGTCTATCTCTTCACCCACCTACCCCTTCCCCATCCATCACTTCACCACCGTACTGCTTGAATTGGCTGGTGAGTAGGTGGCATGGTTCCCTTTCCCACCTCCAACCTGATGTAGGAAGGTTGGGAAGCGGTGAGGAAACTGAAGAGATCCAGTCACATGCTGGCCGTTCCCCACTCACTTCGTTCGTTCATGCCCATCGTTTTCTCTGGTCAGCGCAGTATTTCATATTCCTTCCTCACTTCTCTCTTTTTCTCTTTGACACAGAGAGAGAGAGAGAGAGAGAGCGCGCCGACCCTTAGATATCCATCTCTTCACCACTCATTTCCTTCGCGTGTGTGAGATGTCTAAAAGATGAGGAATGGAGCGACAAATGAAAGAGAATTAGAGCCTCTCATCCACCGCTCGTCACCAATGTCCTCGCTCTCTCCCTTTCCTTTTCTCACCTTCTTGCCTCCATCTCGCTCACGAGCGAGGGATGGCATGGAAGGGAGAAGGAAGAAAAGGAAGCTCTCACCATCTTATCTGTCTATTTCTTCCCTCTCTGTTCCTTTGTAACTTCGGGAAATCCATAGAGATGAGATATAGCGAGTAAAACGGTGAGACTAGCAGATGCGAAGGACGAGCCGTTTCTTTTCACTTTCATCTCTCCATCATTCCAGCATTAAAAGATAGGAATTATGGAATGCGGGATGAACAAGAGAAGGATAGAGATGAAGCCGGAACGTGAAAGAAGATGTCCAACATAAGACTGGGTTCGGCTTCCTTCATATCATTCCCTTTATCTCAGTCTCTTTCCCACTCTTTTCTCTGGGTTTATTACGGACGGAACAGAGTGGAGGGAGTGAGTGGGAAAATATATTAATCATGGAGGAAAGGGAAAGAGACGTGTCAAGAGAATTAGATAAGACTCGGCCTTTCATCTACTTTTCCTCTCTCTCCTCTCCATCATTCCTTCTTCCCTTCGTGTCCACCTCATATAGAATTAGAAATAGAATGGCGGACGTACGAAGAAAAAGGAATGTGAGAGGACAAGAGAGACATAATGAGGAAGTATGTGGAGAGGATGTTGGGTGTCTGGTCTCATTCCTTCGTCCCTCCACACCCATCCTATCCACAATGTGGCCCATCCTTCTCATGGCGGGTGCTTCATCCAAACAGCTATCGACCCCTGAAAACCCAAAGCAACAACTATACAAGTAACATTCAGGATGGTCCCCTTTTGCACCAGCCCCAAGCAGCCCAGTTTGATCGAGACCCTTGGGGTTTGCAATTGCCTGAGGCGGCAGCTTGGAGCTTTTCTCCATGCAACAGTCAAGCGGGGAGGGTCCTTGCGAATTCAATGCGAAGATGTGGGGATCGTTGATCTACCATGGCCAGCCAGGAATGAGATGCTTTGTTTGTCTAGGCCGTTTTAGATTCATTCCAATGATTGGTAGATAGGAATATATTGTTGGTTGCTTTGGCCAAAGAGAGGCCTCTGCAGCCCCTGCAGGAGCCGTTTGTTTGTTCCACACTGAGTTTGGCCGAGTGGTTGACGCCTTTGCAAAATCAATTGGTTCCATCGCGTTGGGTGCCCCATGTCTGGCTCCATGCATGCAAAATGGATCCTTCACCATAAACCAGCGAATTCGCATGGAACGCGCCACGGCTCGCCCTAAAAGGAGATTCCCTCAACCGGAGGCGGCCTTTCCTTCAACTGGCAATGCCCCGAATACTCAAGTCTGCACTGGTTTCAAGTCTAATACTCTGTTGCTTTGCAATCTGCAGGAATTGAAGAACGAGTTGGCGGTAATATCAACAGCTGTTGGCAGGTCACCGCGAGAGCACCGCTCACCGATGTTGGCTACACCGCCCACCTCAAGCCAGAGCAAGTACTTCATATGTCAAGGTAGTACAGCGAATTTCATGTTCTAGGGAGTGATAAATCAGCTGCTAGTGATACATCAGCTGCTCTAAGTAATGTTGCTGCCTCAACGACAACTCACTTGTACTTCTAGACGAGGATATTTTAGCCACTGAAGATTCACGAAGGGAGGTTGAGCCTCGCTCATGCCCATGATGAAGGTTCCTCTTCATAGGGAAGTCTGCGTTTTGCTTTGTGAAATCTATGTCATTCAGATCTACTTGAACAACTGCATATGAGTCCCTTAGTTTGTGACGGAAATGAGCTGCCCATGTCTCCCGGGGAACAGATGTTTGGGGCTCAACATGTGAACTGGTCCCTCAATTCAAGCATGCGCATTCCAAGTGCTCAATTCTGTATGTCGAGGATCCTCTTTGATTGACACGCGATCATGGCAGCCATGAGCACAAAACATCCATGTGTTCACGTTGCCATGCAGCTGGCAGGGCTCATCCTGCCGCCCATCGAGCGCGAATGTGAGAGCCACGTGGCTGAATGAATCTTGACCCGCGGTGAGCCCACGACTTCGCTGCCCCTAGGTCAACTTGTGGGACCTTCATACATGGCCATGAATTTAATACGGACCCCCTAAAAAGTTGTTGGTGGACATAAAACCCTACCTAAATGATGTCCACCAGAGGGTCCCCAATTAAAATTCAGCCCCACATCTTGACCCACATTATGAACAAAGAGGGTTGCATGACAGTCCAAGACTCGGTTTTTGCACAGGGACTCATGGAGCCACAGGCCAATAGGAATCCAAACAGGTGTTTTAGACCGGGAACCCGGCGGATTCCATGCGGGTGTTGGGCTGACGGGATTTTGGTTGAATTGGGCCTTTGTGGGGAATATCCGGGGGGTCAGCAACTAGGCTTTCGCAAGGCTCAGGCCTCCCTGAGCAACCCGAGAAGTACGAACACCTAGGGCTCCCTATGATCCACCTTGGAACCCTCAAAGATGGTATCGTATACCTATGAGGAAACCAAATGCACATGAAGACACCAAAGTATTACTCTCCCACATGCGAATTCTTAGCTCCCAGGCCGCTGTGAAGGACTAAGTCTTGCACCAGGGGTCCTGGCTCCCATGTTGGCCTGGAGGGAAAGTTTACCGAAGGACTGTGATGTTATGACTCAAAGGTTGGAAGCTGCGTTCAGCTTGTGAAGGACCACGGGGAATGCAAGGATCCAGAACGGAGGGGAAAACCAACCGCCTTAATTACAGTATGATGATTTTTGACATCACTGGCGATGAGCCTGCTTCGGGGTCCCTTTCAGGTTGACTCATATTCATTTCCCCTGGGCTGGGAAGGTGGTGGGCTGGTGAACAGCTTATGGAAATTCCTTTGCAACTGGTGTAACGCATGGCGAATCCTTCGTGCAGGGAATTCTGCGAGCCCGTTTCAGAACTGGCCCAAAGGTTCCAGTTTTGGTTGGTTTGCAGGGTTGACAAGTTGAAGCTGAGTTTCTTTCTGATGGGGTGTTCAAGGGGAAAACCCGGACCACGCCGAGGGAAACCCTGGAATGGCTATGAACAATTTCAACATGCCATGTGTCCTTGTTTCAGATTTGATGATGTTTGGAGGTTTCTCCAGGTTTCCCTTCAAGGGTGCGGTCCTTTCGTGGTGTGTAGGCCCTTGATATATCGGCAGTATATATTTTCAGAGTTGTGTTTTGCAGTTTCAAGTTTCCATGTTCGCACTCGCACGCAAAGTGTCTCCCAGTGATGCAGAAGGCCAAAAGGGGCATTCGGGAAGGGATGGTCCAGCAAATCCATGCCAACAACATTTTGTGCATTTCTGGGTTGACAATCGCACAATTTTCTGCATACGTCGCCTAGGCTTTCTCTCCGTTGGATCACATCCAGCCACCACCCCAGGCTCGGGAGGTTGAATGGATCTGCACGTTTAAACAATCGAAGCGATTTGAAGATTTTTGGTGCCTTGGATGTCGGTGCGATTGAATTGTTTTGTGCAGGATCAATGTTCAAGCTTCTCAAGTTTGCAGACCTACGAGACCTCGAAATCTGGCTTGTTGGTTTGGCGTCCTTTGTCACCATAGAGAGCCCGAAAGGTTCTCCGATCTTGCGTGTTGGGTGGGGGGGGGCACCGGCCACGGAGTGCCAGCGATTCCGCGCAGCATGGGGCTTTACTTGGCATTCAGGCATTTCAGGTCGGTCCACTATTGCCAAGACGAAGTCCAAAAGAAGGCTTCCTGTTTCTGCTAAAGTCGAGCACTGCACCTTTTGTAGATGCGCTTTCAGCTCGTTCCCCCGGCCTGAGCTTTCAAGACGCTTTCCAAAAGATCGGCATTGGGGCTCGCCATGACGGGGGTTTGAGCCTTTGAGGCGCCACAAAGTGACACCAGAGTTTGTCACGGCGTCCAACCATCCATGCGCTGTATCCAGCTTCCAATAGTCAGTTCTGAAGGCCAGTTTTCAGGCAATGGCAATTTGAACCTCTAAGATGCCGCTTCCCAGAATAGGCCCTGGATAGAACATCTCTTCCAGGATTCCACCTTGGTGAACAAAGGTCATGTTTGAGTTGAGGATTGCCCAGGTCTGCTACAAGCCATTTCTAACACCCGAGCTGACTATTCTTCGCTCAAAACGGGGCTCGCTTCTGTTTTGGTTGGGGCAGGATGTGCACGTGAGGATGCCGATGTGAGCGACTCATTTGCACCCAAAGCGGGGACGAATGTGACTTGGGAGCACGTAGTCCGAGACCATGCTTTCTGCAACATGGTATCCGGTTGAGTCATGGTCATGAGCTGCGCTGGAGCCGCGCTCGATTTCGTAAATTACCTTTTACCCTTAGATTTCGCTTTGGACATGAATTTGTCTCGGTTGTTGGTTGATTCTGATCGGGAGGCCTCCCATTTTGAAGACCCGGATCATTTTGAGAGTTCCCCTCTGCAAATCCGCCAGGTGTGCTCAATGGGCTATCATTGCTCTCCTGCACAGAATTGAAGCTTGCCTCTCCCAAAAACACATGACGCAACTAAATTTGAGAAGCGCGTCCAAAATTGATCCAACCCACTTGTTGGAGTTGTGAATTTGCAGAGGTGCCGCCGCCAAACCCTTTTTTGCCAGGCGCACTCGAACCGCAGCCCAGCGCCAAGGTGCGCAAGTGGAAAACTCGACAGGTTACGTTTCTTATTCAGGGGTCCACCGTTTTTGGTGGTTTGAAGCATCACCGTTTGGGCCACTGCAAAGTGAGTTTCGTTTTGGTGGGGTGATGTTCCAAAGGGAAGTGTAGGGAGCCCTTGTATTGCCGATCCTTAGCAGGGAATCAAACATCGCAAGGTGTTTGTTGGGTCTGAGCAAAAGGCTTGCTGCTTCTCAGGGATCAATCGGGGATTTGTGAATGAACCTGGAGACCCCCTTAAAGGAAACCACAAGTGGTAGTTGGAACCAGCAAGTTGTTCAGAGCATGTCCGGGTTTGCCTGTGAAGGGAGAGGTGTCCTCTATTTTCGATCACTTGGATGTGGAACCTACATATCCGTGGTTGTGATATGAAGGGTTGCTTGACCTGCCATAGTTGGACACTAAGTAGACTGACTATCCAAGAAAGGGGGCCCCATGTTTGACGTGGCCGGAGCCGCCTTGAGATCACGGGGTTGAAAGGGTATCGTCTTTTTCAAGGGCCAACGAGTTGGAGAGCAAATGGCATCATTAGGCAAATGACTTGGGAACAGGCCGTCAACAATGGGAGGGAAGTGCACCATTCAAATGGTGAAGGGGAGGGTGGGGGGAGGGGGGCCAATTGGAGGGGAGGCGCGCCCAATGATGGTATCCATTAATCAACTGCTGAGGGGGATTCCCAAGAACCAGCATGGAAGCTCACAAATAGATTTGGCCAGTACTGTGGGGGCTTGGAGTTGTTTTTTGTGTCGGGCCGGATTCTTTGGCTAGGTGGTGCGTGGTTGTGTCATTTTGGAAAGCAAAACGCAAGAATGCCGAGAACATACCTCGCCCAGGCTACGCGTGTGTTTTAGCCTCAGCTGTGGTGCAAGGTATTTCTTGAGACGGCTATAGTTGTTCGGGTTGTACAAAATCAACCCTTACTGTGCTGTAATCCGTCGTCAGATGGTAGTCATAGTCGTGCCCCACCATGGAGTACGGTTTAGGATTAGGGATCCCGAATCCCAATCTTTTTGGTTCACGCACTTCAACTGTCGATGTAGCCTTGTATCTCCCTTGCAATCAATAATTCAATCAAAGTCCGAGCGCTTGATTGCCATCAAATGGATCGGCGCTAAGGAGGAGCTGACATCGGCGATAGTATTGGGCTGAGGGAAGTTGAATGGAATTCATGTCTGGGGTGGAGGTTGCTCTGCTCTGGGGTGGAGGTTGGCAGAGCAACAGGCCTTTCTGGTTTGAAAGTTCATCGCCAGCTCGTTTGGCCCCGCAAGTCACTCGCTCGCGCGACTCAAAGCAACGCGCTTGGATGCCCGGTCCACAGTCCTTTCGCCTTGGCTGCATCCTCCATTGTGTGCCACCTGCAACAAGACATTGCCTGTGTTGCGAATTTGTCATCATCCTCCTCTTCGCTGAGGATGCTTTGCCGTTATCTGGAGCTTGCAAACCGTTTCTCCGCTTCGATTTGCCAGAGCTTGTCTGATTTCGTATTGAGTTGCTCGCCCGAGGCTCTATCTCTGACTGCGTGAGTCTTCGGGATCTCAAGCTTTGCTCGGTCTATCATGTACTGTATGGGTTCAGGATGATTGGCGCATTGACCATGTAAAGGTGTGACTTCTTGACCCGCCCCGCTCGCTTGCGTAGCATAGTCCTCCATTCGAGAGCACTTTTCTCCACTCCACACCCCCAGCTTCGGCAAAGGTGACTGAGTGGTTTGGTTCCCACTTGCCCCCATCCCCGAAGTTCAGACTTAAGGTCAGGCCTTCCAGTGGTTTACAGGGGCTGCAGTTTCCAGCAACCCTGGCTCACTTTGTTGCCCCCAATCAATCAGACCCATTAGAACAATGCTGGGTAGACAAAATGCTATCGTTTGCCGAAGGAGTTCCATCATGAAAGGTGTTTCCACCATTTGTTCGTCGGGGTTGAAAGGTTTAATGGGGGTTGAACCCTGTGGTGGAAGTTGACAGGCATTTTCTTCAATGTTTGGAAGGGTATTGTTTGTTTTGATCCCGCCCGTCAACCAATTCGCTTGGCCACTCCCTGCCACGTAGTCTCACCGCGTAATCCGACGGCAAACCCGGCTTGGCTTTGCTTGCTTTTGAGGGGACACTGGTAAGTGCAGCATCTCAAGGGTGGGCACTCAACTAGCCATGGTAATTGGCCGAAGGCGAAACCCTGACGCATTTCACTCGAGGCTGGCTACCGGAATCTCGTTCATAGCATCTGGATGCGTCTTTGCTGGGACCCCCTTTTGCTTGTTTCAAAGTACACCAAGACGAAGCCAGGCATTTTCAGGCCACCTTGTCAGACAAAGCCCGGTCCGTGCATCCAGAATGGCCGCGCAGGCAGCTGCCTCCGCAGCCGAAGTTCAGGCAAGAATTGGAGTAGGGCCCCCTCCCCCCTCGGAGCCGCAATTACCTTCTTCGTTGTCGCTTCCCTTGAAATGCCAAGCACATTCCCGCGGACACCAATACTTAATCAATCATTGTTTAATTAAGTATTGGGCAATACACATCCAATACTTCCCGATGCGGTGCTAAACCAACGTTCAACAAGTCGAAACCAGCACAAATGCAAGCAATGGCATAGATTTCGCTGTTTGCGCGGAGGCTGCCGTTTTCACGAGTGCCATCAGCTCAAGTTCTCTGGGGGAGCGAAGGTGTATTTGCTCCCTCCCAAAAAGCACAGTTTTGGGGAGCCATGTTTTTGGGAGCCCCCCTGTCCATGTTTTATAACTTCCCCCCCCCCCCACCCCGCGCGCCCGAAAACAATGTTTTTGGGAGCCATAAATTAACTAACTAACTAAATAAATAAATAAATAACTAAATAAATATATAAATATGAATGTATTCCCTGCCTGAATCACGCAGCTTTGAAGATGATCCAAGAATTGGACTCCTATCGCCACAGTTTTGGGAAACCCTTCTTGCGTGTTTGCGTCCATGTGCATTGATGGACCTCTAGGTGTCTCAGGCTAGCTGAGCAAAAGGTGGTGCAAGCTAGAGAAGGCTCCAGGAATGTTAGTTGATTGGATGACATTGGGCTGCTTGCTGTTTCCTTAGCAAGATTTGGGCTAGCAGAAACCCTACAGCCACCCAACTGCGAAGCCGTTTCAAACTTCTGTGAAGGTCCATATTGAACTGGCTCGAGTTTGGCTCTCTCAGGGGTCTGCCGCAAAGACATCACTTGCACCGCAAAAGACCACTGATTGGAATGCGAAAAGGGTTTACACGACAATGACAAGTAAACAATTGCTTTTCGCATCCTGTTGATTCCCGCGAAAGGACACGAGGAGATTCCGGTAATTCGGCGAATCCTGGCGCCTGCATTTAGAACACCTCAAGAAATGTGTCGCCTGTTGTTTCTTCTTTGAGGGGGGAGGATATACTTTATTAGGGATTTGATTTGCCGAGCTTCTTTTGGACGAGTTCCCTTTCTTGCGCACACTGCTGCCTACTTTTTCGGCATGTTTGTTCTTGTCGGCTAGGCCGGAGAAGCCCCTGGACCAGGCGTGGGACGAGCGTGGCTCCAAGCCGACTGGGTCCCCAAAAGGGAACCATTGGAGGTCTCGAAATTGCCTGTGGGGGCGGGGTCTCTTTAAACCATCGTGTGAGTTTGAGAATATTTGCCCAGCACACAACATCTCCGGCAGGACGTGGTGCGCTTGCAGCTGGACCAGCTGCGGGAACAGCTTGACAAGCAATCTGCACCCAAGGCGGGAGACGCCGGTTGAGCGGAAGGGGTCTGTCAGGGTCCGCATTTTGCCCCTCAACCCTTCAGGGCCGGTCAATGTCTGTCGCGCCGCCTTAAAATGACCCCAAATCTCCGAATGAGGGAGTCTTCCAATGGGTTAAAGAGGCTGGTGATCCAGGTTGGTTTTGTTGGCTCCAGCTACTCAAATCAGGATCTCGTGACTTCCCGTGCGTTTGAGGATGTTGTGGGACAAGCGCGGAGTAGCCGAAATCCCACAGCCGGAAGGAACAAATCCCAGGTTTACTGGGAAAGCTCTTTCAAGCTGAACATCCAGCCCTCGAGACCCAGCGGTGCTGTTCCTTGTTCCCTGACTCTTCGGCAGCAAGCAGGTGAATCGTTGTTCCCGTTTTGTCCTCCACTGGAAATCTGGATTGTCATACCGGACAGGAGCATGCTTTGAGACGGATCGCTGATCACTTGGGGTTCCTGAGAATGGTGGACTCTTGCCCACTTTGACCTTGACGATGGCTATGTGACTTTGGACTCCTGGTTTTCTCTCGCCAGGTGCTGTCAAAGCCTACTATGCCGCGGAGCGGCGAGCTCAGAGCGACGCAGCGACTCGCGTGAGTCCTTCGCTCAGCTTGCTCTTTTGACCTTTGTCTTGTTAAAACTCGGGGGAAACCACGTTTCTCACTTGGGAACAAATGTGACTTTTTGAGGTCTAAGACCAGAGACCGCCATGGTAAATGGTCAGCTCACCAAGCACACCATGATGTCAAGTAGAACATAAGCACTATCCTAGGTCCATCATGTGTTTTGTTGGCCCACAATCATGGTTTGCAAAAGGTTGAGAATGTACTTGGCTGCTCTGGGGCTTGATTTGTTTGGAAAAATTGCGGCGAGCTTACCTGAGATTCCTTTTTTCCACTTGGCTAACTATTGTACGGCGGCAGGGCAGCACCGCATTGCGCGTCGCGGTCAGTCACAGAGTCACCGACTTATGGCAAGGAATACTATAAGTTGGAGTGTTTGTTGGGGTTTTTGCCATCTTGCAGGCCCCCCCTGTCAGGTTCCATGTCAATTGGTGGGAGGGTAATGCGCGAAGATTGGTGCAATTGAGGCTGGCTAGCCCCGAAGCCCTCTACTGCACGGGCGGCCTTGCCACCGCCGTGCCCGGCCTTGCCGCCACCGCCAAGTACACCGAATGAGGACAGACCCCGCAGATTCGGATTGACGGGTTCCTTCCGAGCCAACGTCAGAAGACAAAACACAACTGGGAAGTTCCCCCTCTGAAGAGGAGCACATTGAACAGAGAAGGAGGGGTTTGCATATGTTTAATCATTCGCAAATGACCTGAGTAGTCCCAACTCGAACAAATCAGGAAATGCCACTGTCGAGGCGACTTGTCCAGCCAAGTTTTGCTTTCATGTGACGGGCTGGTGCGGTTGAAGCCCTGAAACACGCCCATGCAAGCAATCAGGATTTCCTTTAACTCAAGCTTTCAGTACAGTTCGTGCCTTCCATCGTAATCCTCAGCAACGCCCGGCCCCAAGGCACGACGCAAGGTTCAACCAATGCGTCCAACCTCTGGATTGGCGTCATGTAACATTCATGCAAAGGGCATGCTATGGATGCTCTAAACGCGGTAAACTCTAAAGCTGCAGAACGGATCACTGGGTGCGCGTGGGAACGCGACGCAGGAACAAGGGGGGGTTATTTCTGTCTTGGCATCGGGGCAAAATTAAAGCGACCTCACAAATGGAGTTGCGAGTTTGCCCGTAATGAGATTTGTTTCATCTCTTGTCTTTGATTTGTGAAATGCACCCACATGGCTATTTGTTAGAATAGCCTCGAACATGGTTGGTGGAACGAAACAACCCAACAGGATCCGACCAACCCGTTAAACCGCTATTGTTTGAATTAGCATGTTGTTTGGTCTGTTTGTTTTGCGCATTTGCCCAACACTGATGTCCACCAAAGGGTCCCGACTCACTCCCCGAAATCCTGGGCTTTATACGTTTAGGCAGACTAATCCACTCAGGAAGCGAGCCTAATTAAACGTGCCCTGCCCGCCCAACATATTTCAACCCGCACTGCAAGGAGAACGGCTGGCACGATGTGTCCAAGTCTGAGTGGCAGGCGCTGGCGACGGATGACGGAAAGCGACTTTGAGTCGCTAGAGAGTGAACATGACGTCAGACTGCACCACGGGGATGCTGTTGATGTGGGCCAGGCTGTGCGCTGGCTGATGTTGCCGATGTTGACTATGCTGCGTGCTAGGGAATGCGGATGATGCTGGTGCTGTTGTTGACCATGTTGTGTGCTGGGAATGCGGATGACACACACCTTGGCTGCAGTCGTGATGCCTGGGAGAGTTTCGGCAATTGTGCGTACCAATATGAAGCCTGGGTTTCGATTTGTTGGTATCTTGGGGCAATTGGATTCCTCTTGGGCCACGCCTTGTTTGAACATGTTTGAGCCACTATTGTTTGAGCCAATTTCAGCCCCCCCCCCCAATATTTCAACCCGCACTGCAAGGAGAAAGGCTGGAACGATGTGTCCAAGTCTGAGTGGCAGGCGCGGGCGAATGATTTGCAGGTTTTAAAGGGTATTGCAAAAGATTAGTTCCCCTTTCAGGTGGCTGTTTTTTTCTGTTGGTTTCCCTCAAAGTCATCCTTATTTTGAAACATACCCGTACAACACCAGGACACAAGTTGTTCCTCTGGGGCGTTGGGCTCAGACACCTTGGGGGTTGAGTGACAAGTGACACGCTCGAGGATCACATTGATTTGCTGTAACATCAAGTTGATTCAAGAGGACCAACAATTTGCCATTGCGCAGGCCAAGCAAAATGATGCTGCAGATTGGTGAGACCATTCATCCTTCAGGTTGCTGGAGGGTACCCGTTTCACTTGGGTTTAAAGGGAAACCAACATAGCATCATTTTTGTGGGGTCCCCCGAGTTTGACACATATATAGTTGGTTCCGTTTTTGGAACGAGCGCGAGTTGCAGTTTCATGGCGTATTGGGGAGTGTGGGGGCAGAGGTAGTGTGCTCGTCAGTCGCTTGTTCCTTCCGCCCGCACGTTTGGGTGACGTTCGCAGAGGTGACCTGTTTTGGGCACTTCTGTTTGTCAAGGCGCATACAATGACACCAGAATGCCACAATGGCCTTCTTTTTGACAGCTCAACCGAAAGCACCGACCGATGCGAGCCATGAGGGCTTCTCATGTGGGTATCCCTGTTTTACAGGTCCATGATTTCGCTAAACCATTTTATCACTCAGGTTGAGACTATGTGTCAAAGCAGCCGACGGGAAACCAAACATTTGGAGCCGTCCCTGCGCCGGTTCAACCTACCTGCAGGTCAGCTTTAGATTGATTGACAAATAGCTGGCTTCGGTTCAGCCGTGTTTGGCCCGTACTTTAGACTCGACATGTCAACAAAAAGCCCGGGAAAATGTGGAACTTGTGCTTATCATTCCCTATGAGGGGGTTTTGCGGGACTCGGCAAGCACCAACGCCTGGCGGAATGGCTAAACCTGCGGCGTCCGCCCAACCTTGCAGCTCTGGCATCGACAGGCTGATTGGACGGGCAAGAGCGACTGGTCCCAGTGGCAGGCCGGAAAGCGACAAAACGGGGAAGCTGGACAGGAACGAGTTTTGACGGGGGCTATCAGGTTGTTTGTTGTAGGTTGGTTATTGAATCTGGGCAAATTACAACGAGCTCAGCCGAGGTACGAGGTAACTAAATTAATTTAACGAGGCATGGCCCGAGGTAAAATTGCAGAACTGAGCCAGTAGGAGGAGAACTGCGGGTGTGTGAGAACAATCGGCAAAGACTACCCGAAACACTCCGGAATTTTACCCTGCTCGTTTCGGGCTGTCTTTGCCGCGTGGGTCGTCTTTCCGAAGCTGCTGCTGCCAATGCTTGCTTCAATCCAATCGCAGGCAGGCAGCGTCGGCAAAGACTGCCTGGAATGCACCGGGATCACATTCGAAGAAATGTAAGTGCTGGAGCTCGTCAAAGACTGCCCGAAACACTCCGGAATTTTACCCCGGCTCGTTTCGGACAGTCTTTGCCAGGTGGGTTGTCTTTCCGAAGCTGCTGCTGTCAAGGCTTGTTTCATCCAGCGCGAAATGCGCACCGATGACATTCCGGAGTGTTTCGGGCAGTCTGCGGGTGTGATACCGCAGCCTTGATGACAAGGCTTGCAATGAGATTATCAGATTACGATGAGGCAACGAAGTACTGGAGCTGCTGCGCTTAGCAAAGACTGCCAGAAAGACTCCGGAGTTTCACCTCCGCGCGTTTCGGGCAGTCTTTGTTGGGCGGAAGGTTCCAAAGCAGCAAGCTGCGACGCTCAAAACAGCAAAGCAAAACTATCTGAGGGGAGAGGGGAGGTGCAGCTGACGCTTTAGGACTTCTTGTCCGGCATCCTGTTGTGCGTTCCTACAAAATTGCTCGGTGTGCAAGTTGGTTTCGCTGTGCAACACGAGGGTTCGAGGCACACTTATTTCCAGACGCCGATGTAACGAGGCGAGGTGCTATGTCAGTTTAGTAGAATCACAACCGAGGTGACGAGGTGAGAAATATTGCCAATTGTCCAGATTGAATACTGATACGTTTTCCAAAGCACGTGTTGGCTTGTTGATTGCTTGTTGATTGCTTGTTGTTCTCCGACGCTCAGCTCCATGTGTACCACAAATGCTACTTGTTGAGATCTACTTTCATTTCTGGAAAGGCCCCCTGTGCACCTTCACGTTTGCTGCGCAAAACACCAATAGTAGCCACTTGTCGTCCTTCAAAGGGTCATTCGAAAAAGCAGGACAAGCGTTTCCTAGGAGCTATGCATGTCCTGGATCCTCTTTGAAACGTGTGTCCTCTTTCGGACAGACTCAAAAGTCACACGCCCACCGGGCCAAGCGATATTGGCTGGTGGCAAGGGGGTCTTTCGCGACCATGGTTTGAGCTTCTTACCCGTTTTCAAAAGGCACTATCTGGTCAGCGGCGGATCGAATCAACTAATAAGTGCAGTCCGTGTGGCAGGTGTGGAGCAATTAACTCTTACGCCCATTCGTATATATCGATAACAATTACGGAATTTCTGGGGTCCAACTTGGACTGCGCACACCGGCATTTGTGATTGCTTTTCGGGGGGGGGGGTTCGCAGAGGTGACCTGTTTTGGGCACTTCTGTTTGCCAAGGCGCATACCATGACACCATAATGCCACAATGGCCTTCTTTTTGACAGCTCAACCGAAAGCACCGACCGATGCGAGCCATGAGGGCTTCTCAGGTGGGTATCCCTGTTTTACAGGTCCATGATTTCGCTAAACCATTTTATCACTCAGGTTGAGACTATGTGTCAAAGCAGCCGACGGGAAACCAAACAGTTGGAGCCGTCCCTGCGCCGGTTCAACCTACCTGCAGGTCAGCTTTAGATTGATTGACAAATAGCTGGCTTCGGTTCAGCCGTGTTTGGCCCGTACTTTAGACTCGACATGTCAACAAAAAGCCCGGGAAAATGTGGAACTTGTGCTTATCATTCCCTACAAGTAGTACCGCGCAAGGCGGTGGCGGAAGTTTCTAAAAAAGAACCACTATAGGAGGCTTGAACAACCAGGGCAAACATGTTTGGGGCCAAATTGAAAACCAATCATGTTTTGTTTGTGACGAACATGGCCAAACGGTCACAAAAGAAATCAACAGGTCATGTCTTCACAGGCAACTATTCCACCGCTCGGACAAAAACTGGAAAGAAAACCTGGCTGACAGGGAGCCTGCCTGACCGCAAATGTTTGACAAGTCTTAAGCCTCCATCATTTACCCTTTGTTACCATCCGCCCGCCCGTTGTCCCACCGGCTCTTTTTCCTTTTTATGCGGGCAGATTCACTTTGTCTCTGTTCAAGGCAGCACGGTCAGAAAAGACGCATGCTGCCAGGCAAGGCACACTGCAAGGCACACGGCCTGGCAAGCGCCGGGCGGTCAGAAAAGACGCACCCTGGCGCATCTCAAGCGCATTCAGCGCTGTCTTGTCAAGCGTTCAAGGTCATCGTGCACCTCTTGCGCCGCGGTGCGAAGCTGGAGACACTCGTCAATGTCATTTTGCTCGAAGTGTTTTTTGGCGTGCAGCGGAGTAAAGGCAACCAAGCCGGGTATGTCTTGGCCTTCGTTGCTGTGAAACTCAGGGAGCCAGCGGGGAAGGCCTATGAGCATCACGCGGTCATCGCCGTCTGCTGCTCTTTCGTCCGCACGGGCCACAAAGCCTAACTCCTGCAAAAGCGTGCGAAGATACTGGCTGGCCCGCTGGTCTCGCGCGCGCGGGTCAGCCCCTTTGCTTCCGATCTCCGTGTACCTCAAGTATCGCTGCGCGTTCAGAGTGGCCATGATGCCGTGTTTTTGTTGAAGCCATGCCAGTGTGGGCACACGGTGCCAAAGCCCATAAGCTGCTTGTGCCTGCGACATCTTCCAAGAGGGCATGTGTCGTGCACCAAGTAGTGCTCGATGTCCCCCGCATCGTTTAAGTATCCAATGGGGCGATACTTTTCACCCCACATGGTGCAGCAAACGGGTCGCACCACAGAGCGGGCAGCGTGGTGCCTCTTGCGGTAGTTATGCGCCACCCAGCCGGCATCGGCATCGCCAGGACGCGTGCGCTGCGCTCTGATGCCGCAGCCTAAAAGAAAGTCATACAAGGCAACATCCCAAGCCTCCTGGCGCGCCAAGTGCACGGAAGCACACATGCCCAGCATGAGCTCCACGTGTGCTCGCAAGTGTGGATGCATCACACTGTCGGGCCTCAGCGTGGCCATGATTTCAGCTCCCAAAGCTTGCAAGTGGATTTGCGCTCCAAGGGCTGAGACAGGGGCAGAAAAGCCGCCTGCGTGGCCAGCAGCAGGGGCAGAAAAGCCGCCTGCGTCTGACATCCACCAAGGCATGCCGAGATTGGATTGCTCGAAAGAGGCTCGCCAGTCCCTTGAAAGCAGGACGTGCCCCAAAGTCATATCTGCAGGCACCGGCAACGGGACTTGCAAGCAGACATCCGTCTCGGAGATCACATTGTCCCGCGAAGTGTTTAGGGGCTCACCAGTGTTGTCGCCCCAGTTCACCTCCATCGCCCCGGCCGAGCATCGAATGGCCGGCAAGGCTCTCGGCAAGGGCAAAGCGCCGCTTGCCTCCAAGTAAACATCGTGCTCCATAAAGGACTGCCGCGGCGGAAGCTCCGGCAGCAAGCCGAGATCGGAAGCAGCCACATGGCGCCGCACCTGCTTCAAGTCTGCCCGGTAGCCCTCGGGGATCAAAGGATCCCTGCACATAAGCGCGTACTCTTCCGAGAAGGCAGTCTCATCAATTTCGTGCGCCACGTCCTGCTGCGCCGCCCACCAAGCCTCCCAGTCGGCAGTGTCTGGCAGCAATAAGCGGAGAGCGTTGCCTTGCCAGCAGCTCGGACGCGCCGTCCGGTGGAGCCACGTGACGTAGCAGTACTTGTGCACCACGGCCAAGATATCAAAATTTTTCGCCTCCTGCAGCGGCAAAGCCACCAGTCTTAAGAAGGTGCTGGACAGCAAAAATGAATAATTCAAGGTGAGCACCGACCACATGTAAAGGAAGACCAGACACTGGAAGAGCGCCATGGCCGGCATACCACCAAGAGGCAACTCCGGAAAAACCTCCGCGGCAACAAGCATACGCTGCAGCGCTGCAAGCTCTTGCTGCAACTCCCGACTAGATGCCAGCAACTCGCTAGCGTAGGCAATCAAGCCTTGAGCGTCCTCCGCGCTCTGTATGACCCGGAACGAAAGCAAGGTCGCGTCCGAAGTAACGTCAAGCAAGCAGTCCACCCCGCGCCGAGACAGCGTCTGCGCACCTGGCTGAAAGAGCACGCCTAGTGGGGCATCGCAAGGCAGCACCAAGCACAGCGCGGTGTCCTCCACGTCGGCCGCGGCAGATTGGGCCACCTCTGGCGCGAAGGACACCCTTTTCTTTTTCTTGGCGCTGGGCGCAGCCGCGGCGTGGGCAGAGTCGTCCTGCACGTCAGCCCACGCAGGTCTGCGAGTCGTGGCTGCTTTCGGGGAGGCGGTCAGAAAAGACGCACCTTCCCCGGCAGCGGCGGGCAGAAAAGCCGCACCACTGCCAGAGGCTGCTCTTGGGGAAGCGTTCAAAAAAGCCGCAACAGACGCTGCTTCCGGGGAGGTGGTCAGAAAAGACGCACCATCCCCAGTAGAAATGAAGTGCTCGTGTATTTCCGCTGCAAGCGTGTCCCAAGGCGTGCTGAGCTGAAAGGGACAGGCGCACAAGCCACAGCGCTCCGGGAAAGCTTGCTGCAGAGCGCGCATGATAGGGCACCAGTGGCGGGCCATACGCACGCGGGAAGCTTGCTGAAGTACAGCGCGGCCTTGAGCGGTAAGGGCAGCGAGGCCGGCGCCTTCCAGCCAGTCTGCCAGCCAAGCTTTTCTGAGGGGCGTGCCGCGCTCGGCGGCAGCCGCTTGGATGAACTTGCGCGTGTCGAGGCAAATATCGCTGTAGCCAGCGGATACAGTCGTGGACGTCTCTCGAAGGTCCTTGTCCAACAGCTGCACGCTGTGCAAGTGCGCCGGAACTCGGCCGCCAAGGAAC